AGGTATTATCATTGACCTATCAAAAGCTTTTGACACTGTAAATCATTATATTTTACTGCAAAAATTCAAATATTATGGAATTAAAGGTACTGGTTTAAAATGGTTTAGAAACTATTTAACAAAAAGAAAACAATTTGTAATTAGCAATGATGGTTATCAAAATAATTATCTTGATATCGTATGCCGTGTTCCTCAAGGTTCAATCCTCGGACCCTAACTTTTCCTGATATATATAAATGATTTGAATAAAGCTTTCAACTTTATAAGTATCATGTACGCAGATAATACCAACCTTTTCCTCTCAAGCAGTAATATATATGAACTCTTTACCACTATTAATAAAGAAATAAAACATATACCAAACTGGTTTAAATGTAATCCTTTAGAGTCCATTTGGTTTTATTAATATTTAAAGCTAACTTTAAATACTTAAAACCGAATGGACTCTATTCCATTCGTATGCAAAAAAGCGAATATTACCAACAAACACGATATAAGAAACATGAGTTTTTTAAATGAGCCGTTTTGTCACACAAAATTTAATCAATTTGGCATAGCTTATCAAAGATCACACCAATGGAATAATATTGTTCTGCGAAATCTCGATCAACCAACTTCCTTTTATCTTTCCAAGCTATATCTTAAAAAACATATTTTTTCACTTGATAATATACTTAGATACTTTTAATATTTTGAAAATTAATATTTGACTTGGGTTTTATTACTTTTTTATTTTTAATTTTACTTTTATTTTTTGTATGTTATACTTGTCTTTATTTTGCTTGCTTGTATTTTATAAGGTTCTGACGACAAGATCTTGTGATTTTTTCAGATCCTAGCTTATGCTAAATTGTTAGCAATATATATATATATATATATATATATATATATATATATATATATATATATATATATATATATATATATATATATATATATATACATACATATATATATATATATATATATATATATATATATATATATATATATATATATATATATATATATATATATATATATATATATATATATATATATATATATATGCATCTGTACATCTGTAAGTGTATATATGCTTATATTTATATATGTGAGTGGTTTTCTTATTTTATATATACCAGTATTAGAATTTTTTTGATTTTAACACCATATATACGCATATAATTGTAGTGTGACATTTTAATGTAAGCAAAAATAAAATTAAAAAAAAAAAGGTGTTGTATTAATAATAGTAGCAAAGTAGTTTGCTCTAATTTAGTTGATTGCTTTGGAAAGTAAGTTTTATAATAATATTCATATGTGTATACAATTACAATACACGATTAAATGATTATGTTATATAATAATATTATATAACATTAAATGATTATATATATAATAATATTATATAACATTAAATGATTATATATATAATAATATTATATATATATATATATATATATATATATATATATATATATATATATATATATATATATATATATATACATTAGTAGAAAATCACTTAGCAAAATTTTTTCTCATTTAACACTGTGTTTCATCAATGAAGACTCATCAGAAATGAATGATCAAATTAATAAAACTTCAATTTATACCAAAAATTAAATTACAGGAAGTCACATGTCTTAACTACTGCAATTTTTCACACATTTGTGTTATGTGCTGACACTATTGTAAAAAGAATTCTTTAGAAATGATTACTTAAGCTTTTTTAAAAAATAACATATTTTTTTTCAAAGAGGAGTTAATGTAACTATTATTTGAGCTCACTTAATTTTATAGTTTTTTAGGAGAAAGTTATTTTCGTGCCTGCATTTAGAAATCAATTCCGATTTTTTGTTTAAATTATAGTTACATTAACTCCCCTTTGAAAAAAAATATGTTATTTTTTAAAAAAGCTTAAGTAATCATTTCTAAAGAATTCTTTTTACAATAGTGTCAGCAAATTACACAAATGTGTGAAAAATTGCAGTAGTAAAGACATGCGACTTACTGTAATTTAATTTTTGGTATAAATTGAAGTTTTATTAATTTGATTATTTATTTCTGATGAGTCTTTATTGATGAAACACAATGTTAAATTAGAAAAAAATTTGCTAAGTGATTTTCTACTAATTTGTAATTGCTCTGTTCTTTTAAGAACATTGAGCACTCTTTTTGTAGAATACATTTTAAATTGTTTAAATATATATATATATATATATATATATATATATATATATATATATATATATATATATATATATATATATATATATATATATATATATATATATACACATATATGAATAAATATATATACATATATGTATATATATATATATATATATATATATATATATATATATATATATATATATATATATATATATATATATATATATATATATATATATACATATATATATATATAAAGATATCAATATATAGAATACATTTGAGATTAAGTATTTTGATATAATAATACGAAGTCTCCTGTACGTGTTACAGTGATCAACATGACTGAATAATAGAGCTATATATAATTATATTTTATTTAGATAAATAAAACTGATTCCCAGCAAACAATAGACGTCTTTTAGACCGTCTAAAATTGGTCTAATTTGTATCTATTGCCGATACGTATATTTTAGACGTATATTAGAGATCGAAAAGACGTCTGATTCTAGGGATACTATTTTTGCTCTGTTTTAGATGCATATTAGATGCATAAAATAGATCGTGCATAGATAATTTTTTTTCATCTAAACTTAGATGTCTATAAGATGTCTTTTTTAGATTTGTTATAAAAACAAGAAAAAAATATTAACTAATTTTACGGAGCAATAATTATAAATGAATAAATTATAAAAACCCTGCGGAAACTTATTTCGAAAATAGCATGAAGATTTTTACCTATTGAAGACATCAATAATAATTTCTTTTGATAAATTTTAAATAATAAAATAACATGCTAGTTTACAAAATATTTCGATAATTTAATGCTTAGCATGTTTGCTAAAATCCTTGTGATTTGAAATTTATTTTGCAGAAATATTACAAAATTAATATTTTCAAATTGATTTTTATTTCTAGAATAAAAGATAATGTAATTAAAATATATGTATATATATATATATATATATATATATATATATATATATATATATATATATATATATATATATATATATATATATATATATATATATATATATATATATATATATATATATATATAAATATGTATATCTATATATATGAGTGTTTTTCAATAACACAAAAGATTGTTTTATTGGTTGTGCACTTATCGTTTTTATCGAGGAACCAAGATTCATTTATGTCTTTTACAAAAAGGCCATACGAAAAGAGACGCAGTAGACGTGTCCAAAAAGAATATTATAAAATACTAGAAATTTTATCAGTACATATAGAAAAAATTCGAATGTTGCAACTTCTAAAAGAAATGATTTCTTATTTTGCGAAAATCTAAAAGAATATTTTGACCACCATAAGTCATTGATTTTGTACAATGAATACTCTTATAACCAAAAGCCTAATGAGCATAAGCATAACCCAACTTTAAAGGAAAGTTTTTTTGCATGTTTTTCTAACCAAGTAATTATGCACTAAAGAAGTGGATTGACAAAGAATAGCAACAAATTTATTGTCCCAAAAAAAACTATAATTATGCACTGAAAAACAATCTTTCGTCAACAAAAGAATGGCACAAATTTCCATTGATAAAGTGTAAGATAATAGATAGTCAGTATCTAACTTGTTTTGTGTTTTTTTTAAAGGTAACTTAATTAGTTTTTTGTAGCAAAATGTTTTATAATAATTATATGTATGTAGAATGTAGAAAGTTGTATTCTTGTATTATTAATGTAGAAAGTTGTATTCTTCACAACATGAAAATGAATCTAATTATAATCTAATTAGATTCATTTTCATGTTGTGAAGAATACAACTTTCTACATCAGATGAGATATATGTTAAAGAAAGCATTAAAAATAAGAATATCAAATCATACCGCTCTTCATTGCCAGAACCTCCGCCACCTATTATGAACTAGCCCAATGATAAAAGATAACACAAATATCATATTTTTTTCTTAATGGTTTATAAACTAAAATAGATTCTTGTTTAATTTGATCTGAATAATATCTATATAGCTATAAGTCTTTTTTATGTATTACTAAGATTTTCCTTTTGTTTTAACTATTTGGGTGTCCTATTATATGAAATGTTGTTAAATTGATTACATATATTTATATGATTGACAACATTCTATTGTATTAAATAATCCTTTAATCAACTTGATATGAAAATTGAAAATTGATTGAAAGCATGCTGAAATTGTTTAAATTCAGAAATTGAAAGAGTACAAAATTGGTTGAAAAATTAAATTAAGTAACAGGTATGGTTGAGGGATTATTTATAGTTCTAATTATAATTATTTCTTTTGAATAGAGTTGTTATCAGATTTAAAGATTGAAGAAGATAATTTTTCTTCACATTTTATTGATGAACAGAATAAAACCAAGCAAAGTTCACATTGTCAAAGGGTTTCAAGTTTTAATATGAGTATTTTTGTTTTTTTCACCACTGAATGTTAATGTGGAGGTCTTTTTTATTAATTTGTCTTTGTATTGTAAATATTGTATTGTAAAAATTGTATTGTTTTTGTATTGATTTGTAAAAGATAGGTATAAAAGAATAGAAATGGATTATTTATAATATTGTGATCCGATAAATCATGTGTGCAGAATTTTACCTTCAGTAGTTAAACAAAATTCTTTAATATCGTAATTTTTTACAGGATAAAGTTTTAGCTAATTTAAAAAGTAGGTTTTCCAAAATATTATGGCAACTTCTGCGATGGAGTAATTAAAAAACTTACATGTATTTTTGGAATTTTAGTTTGAGTTACTGGAGCATAATTTGAATTTTAAAGTTCTTATTTCATTGTTTTGCTATTTGGTTTTATGAGCTAAATATGTTAATCAACCTTTTTATTATTGTTTGTAGAGATGCAAAATGTTGTTCTCAACGAGCTTGCAGAAATAAAAGTTCTTTTAAAAGAAGTTATAGAAATTAAGTTTCAGGCTACTGGGGTGAAGTTGCTAGAATCAGTGGACGAAGTGGTTACACTGGATAATAAACTAAAAGATAAAACCGAGTATACTAATTTGGTAATATCTAATTATCTTAATTTTTAATAAATTTTGTTTAAGTTTGGTTTACTAGTTTAGAATCGAAATGAAAAGTATTTGTAAATGAACTAAAATAACTAGCTTGTGTTAGACTCAATATGTTGTAAAAAAATTTAAGTTACACTTGTTTTTATTACATTTATTTCAGCTTGATAGTTTGAAAAAGATTGGTGGTGAAAAGCCAAGAGAACATGTTTTTTTGATCATGTAAAGGTAAATGATTTTGTTTTTATTTATTATTAGAAATATGATTAAAAGGTACCAAAAGCAATTCATTTTAACCGTTATTTGTTATGGATTTACTTTTAACATGACAATTTGATAAACTCGGGAGCTTCACTGTAGGTGTTTAAGTTTGTTTGTGTGCTAAAGTAAGTGTAATGCTAAACCTTGTTTAGCATTTTATTTTCAAATTTAATGCTTTTACTTTTCATAATTTTAAGCATTCATATATTAAAATATATTTTAATTTATTACATATATTAAAATAAAAATCTTTATAAATATATTTCAGTTTATTGTTAAAATATTTATCAGGTTATTTTCGAATCAGTTACAGTCCAAATTTAATGGAAAAAGAAATGGGGAAAAGATAAGCATAGATAATCTAGTAAATATATGGAATGTTTTACAAGGTATAGTTTTAATAGTACTTACAAAACTGATATCTGTATTAAAAAGATATTCTTCGACTTTTTTGTGTCATGCTAGAATTTTTGTATCCACAAAAATTATACATACTACAAGTTCCTTTAGTTTTTTCATAAAAAAATTTTTGTTTATTATTGTATCTGGTTGAGATACAAATCTTCTTGTTTAAATATATATATATATATATACATATATATATATATATATATATATATATATATATATATATATATATATATATATATACATATATATATATATATATATATATATATATATATATATACATATATATATATACATATATATATATATATATATATATATATATATATATATACATATATATATATACATATATATATATATATATATATATATATATATATATATATATATATATATATATATATATATATATAAACACATGTATATATATATATATACACACATGTATTTATATATATATATATATATATATATATATATATATATATATATGCATGTATATATGTGTATATACAGTATTGGACAAAACATTTGCAACCAACATCGAACAATGCTAATAAATGTTCCTAATTTTATGTCTTAAAAATGAAACGAACTATACTACCACAGCAAACAGTTCAGGAGTCTGGAGTCATAGCATGCCATGATATGAGCAATCAGCTGACAGGTGACAGCACACAGGCAGAATTTCGTTGACAAGTGCCATTTTGCAGCATACAAAACAAGTGCAACTTTTTTGGTTTGTTTCATCTTCTCAAATCTGGTCCGTGTCAACGTCACGGAAGTTTTTTAATAATTAAAGGAAGTATCCAGAAGTTTCCAGAAGCATGCAGAAGCTTCCAGAAGTTTCCAGAAGAAGCATCAGAAAGCATCTGGAAGCATCCAGAAGTATCCAGAAACATTCAGAAGCATTCAGACGCATCCAGAAGCTTCCAGAAGTATTGAAAAGAAGCATCTAGAATCTTCCAGAACAGGTTCACACAGGTTCATTTTACTATATAAGAGACATGTAATTCAGTCAGTATATGGAAGTCAATCAGTCAGTATTATCAAGACAGTTTATCGAAGTGAGTTTTATCAAAGTGTTTTATCGAAGAACATCAATACCAGAAGTGGGACGGGACATAAATAGATGTCTATCTTCATAGATTTCTTTTAGATGCATTTTATTCGACACAAATAAATGCCTTAGATGCATAAAAGATGTGAAATATACATTTAAAGATGTGGATTAGATGTATATTAGATGCATAAAAGAGCTATTATTAGCTAAAAAATTATCTATTATCTATCTTTTTTAAACGCGCCTTAGACATCTATATAAGAGACGTATTTTATACATCTAATATGCATCTGTAAGATGTATATTTCACATCTTTTATGCATCTAAGGCATTTATTTGTGTCGAATAAAATGCATCTAAAAGAAATCTATGAAGATAGACATCTATTTATGTCCCGTTCACGACGTGAATTTAGACGTCTTTTAGACCAGTTTTTAGATGCATATTAGATGCATTTTAGATATCTTTTTTTTTGCTAGGACTTGTTTGATACAAAGGTGTTACAGCGGTTAAATTAGTCATAAATAAGGATTAAACTAAATAAGTAAAGAAACATTTTAACTAACATTACTTAATTTTTATTTCACAAAAATATACATAAGGAACTATATTTCTTCATTGCCGTCAACATTTTCTTCCACGTCGCCGATATCTAAAAAATATACATTAATGACATTTAAATGACTTTAAAAGGACATGTAGAATTCTGAATCTATTTTTATGAAATATTATATATATATAAATATATATATATATATATATATATATATATATATATATATATATATATATATATATATATATATATATATATATATATATATATATATATATATATACATACATACAGTATCGGACAAAACCAGTGCAACCAAATGATGCTAATTTAGTTCCTTTGTATAAAAGTGCTGCATTTTTTCAATATAGAGAAATAACTGTAACTGTTTAGAGACAACGTTCTTCAAATTTTATTCATCACAAAGTTCATTATTTGTACATGAAAATTAATAAATTAATCAAAAGTATTAAAAAAAGTTGATTTCCTTCGGGACAAAATAAGTGCAACTCCACAATATGTTGACCAAGCTGTGTTTTGCTTGGTCAACATATTGTGGAGAAATTTAAGTTACACTAGTTTTTATTACATTTATTTCAGCTTGATAGTTTGAAAAAGATTGGTGGTGAAAAGCCAAGAGAACATGTTTTTTTGATCATGTAAAGAAAAAGAAAGCAGTAGAAATTGAACGTAAAGCAAGTTGAGGAGTTTTTTAAAAAATGTCTTTTTATGAATATTTTGAAAAGTTAGACCGTAGCGCCGCTGAACGTTACAAAAATAAACTTGAAATTCTTGGAGTTGATCAATGTATATATAAATTCCCTGCAGACACTTGGAAAGATGACCCAACTGAATGGCCATCTGTTTAATATCAAGACGTTTATCATTATTTGATAAAAAGTCCAAGAATCTTTTCTTCGGAAGCTATGGATAACTACAAAGCATTGGATGCTCATAAATATTTTTTGTCCGGATGGGTGCAAACAGTTGTACATATGTCGTTGTGCTCTGGTTTTGTTGTTTTAAAAGCAGAAGTCAGGCCTTCTTATCGAACAACCAACCCAACTCACACACTATGGGTTGCTGTTAACAACAAAGGATCAGTTTTATCAAATCACTGTACCTGCATGGGTGGGTGAGTTTAATGATTTTTCTTTTGTTCCTTATTTTATCCTAGATAATTTTATTGTTTTAATTTGCATACGAATCTAAGCCTAGTAATCCTAATACAATGCTTGTATTATGATGGTTAAGATTGTATGCATAATAGCTAATCTTATTTTTTCATATTTATTTTTTACAGACTTGGTGAAACCTGCTCTCATGTTGCTGCTGTTTTATATAAGTTAGAAGCAGCAGTCCGTTTAGGGTTGACATTTCAAACTTGCACAGATATCCCTTGTAAATGGAATCAGAATTTTACAAATGATGTTAATCCTGCCCCAATTTCGGAGATAAATTTTTACAGTGATGATGCAAAACATAAAACACAATCAAACTCCAGATTAGCTCCAGCATCAAGAGTAAGAGTACCAATTTTTTATTTGTTATAACAAACAGTTAAGTCTTTATAGTTAAGTTAAGATTTCGACTTTACGGTGCAGTAAATCAGCTTATATTTATGTATATTTATATTTTGATAAATCTTTAAAACTATAATATTTACTTTTTTGCTTTGCAGCTATGTGAAGAACATCAGACTAATTTTCTGAATTTGATAAAGAAGAACAATCCCAAAGTTGTAGAGTTGTCATTGTTTGAAGGATTCCAGAAGCCTTTTGTCTCCTTCAAAGAATATGAGCCAGATAGATTGCCAAAGACACTAAGGACTCTGTATCAACCGTCGTATGCTAATCTCAGTGAGTATAATTTATCGATTGAGGCAGAGAAAATTTTCACATCACTATCAATTACTGCTCAACAAAAAGAATACCTTGAAGAAATTACTAGGCATCAGTCATCATCTATTTCGTGGCATGAGCATAGATGTGGTCAAATAACTGGCTCTGTTATTAATGATGTTTTGAAAGCATGTGTTGAAAATCCACCAAAATCTTTGGTTAGAAAACTTACAGAACCAAACTTTTGCCAAAACAATGCACCTTCATTATTATGGGGAAGAGAAAAAGAAGAATTTGCTTTAGCTGAGTATGTAAATGTCTGCTCTGATGATTTATACATAAGTGAATCACTTTGTCTTTCAGTGATCATGATTCACAATGATTTTGAAGTAAAAAATTTTGGACTTGTAGTTTCTCGAGAAAAGCCATGGTTGGGTGTGTCTCCTGATGGTGTTGTACATTGTTCATGCTGTGGGTATGGAGCCATTGAGGTAAAATGTCCATACAGTCTTAAAGATATTGGATTAGCTTCATCAATAGACAAAGACAATTTTTATGTAAAAAAATACAATAGCAGCTTTATATTAGAAAGAACCCATCCATACTTCAGTCAGGTACAACTTCAAATGTTCATATTGGAAGTGTGTTATTGTGATTTTGTTGTCTGGACTCCAATTAATTTTTTATTTTTTCGAATTGAGCAGGATCTTGATTTTGTTAATGAAATGATTGTAAATTGTACAAAGTTTTGGAAGCATGTGATCTTACCAGAACTAATGACAAGGAAGTTAGAAATCACAGATAAAACTGATAAGCGACATCACATAGAAACAACAGATCAAACTTTTCAACAAGATCAAGAGTAAAGAGTGTTTTGCATTTGCAAAACTACTAAGAGTGATGGCGATATGGTCGGTTGTGATCGTTGTGATCAATGGTTTCATCCAGCTTGCCTTAAGTTGAAAAAATTACCAAAAGCAAAGGTCTGGTATTGTCCGCCCTGTCGACAGAACAAATGACATTTTATTTTGCATTTACATTTTGATGTTGTCAATAATGATGAAAAGATATATATATATATATATATATATATATATATATATATATATATATATATATATATATATATATATATATATATATATATATATATATATATATATATATATATATATAATGATATGACAAAAGTTATTTAAAATTGATTTATTTAAAATATAATTATTACAATATTAAAAAACATAATCTAGTTATAGTTTCTAATTTCATTTGTTATGGGAATCTTTATTTTAAGGTATATTTGATATATTAGGTAAAAATATATTTGATACATTATATAATTTCCATATAAATATAGTTTTAGGGTAATTCCATGACCCAGGATATATCTCCATAAATCTCAGATTTTGCTGATTTTTATACAGATGCGAGTACTTAGTAAAATAAGAATACATTGAAAATTTTAGATTCTAGCTCCGAAAAGATCGTGAAATATGGTCATTATACTTTTAACTTTAGATCTTGATCAGGCCCCTCTTTTTCCCTTAGAATTGTGACGTTTTTTGAAAGGTTCTAAGTCACATAGCTTTGCAAATATTTAATCTTTTAACTTAAAAATTTTTAAGTAAAAAGATATATTTTACTTAAAAATGTGAACCTGGCTATTTTCTGGTGTGAAGAATCCAATGAAATAATCAGAAATGTAAAAAAATATCAAGTACCTTATTTTGTTTAATATTAAGGCAAACGCAGTACCATGTCTAGAGCAGGAGATCTCTCCGAAAACCCTGTTAGGGCCCAAACTAGTTACCACATGCTAAAAAAAGTTAGGGTGAGAATGAAATTTCGGGTTGGTAATTATCTCCCAGATAATTTGAAGTTCGGTAAATATTTTATTACCGAATCTAAATAACTATGTACTATTATTATATAGTACTATTTTAAATGTATGAGATTTTGTCTTCAGATGTTATACATCTAGAGACAAAATTATATTTAATGAAAAATTATGTTGTAATGTTATAAACAATATTATTTATAAAAAGCAAGCCTTAAAAAACGACACTTCTTGAGTCTCTTTGAGCGGAAAGACGGCTAATTACTAGAGATTGCAATCCTGCACTGCGGGATCCTGTATTATTTCAGCGCATGGGAGGTCAAACTCAGCGGGCTGCTAGAGCCCCTTGAACAAACTACTGATGGATCTGTGGAAATCAGGGGTAAAATAAAATTGTATAACATGTGGCTATATACAAGTTATGTAACTTAACTGATATATGTTCACAATTTATACAATTTACAAATTAGATTTAAAATGTGTACATTTTATTTTATATTTGTCCCTGATTGGCACGGATCCAGCAGTAGTTTGTGGCAAGTATCAAGCAGCCACCTGAGTTTGACCTCCCATGCGCTGAAGTAATGCGCGATCTCGCAGTGCGGGATTGCAATCCCTAATAATTACCCGAACATACAAACAAAATTTCCCTGTTATAAATTTTGTTTGTACGTTCGACGTAACTACTTTTTAAGCAAGTTAAAAATATGTTCACGTAAAAATTTTTAAACGTCTATCCTACTTCCATTAGAATGTATTATTAGTTTAAAAAAACCCTCCAAATATTAGGTGTCACTAAAAATAGAAGCACATCCTCGCCACTCCGAAAAGCCGATGTTATGGGAACTTAACAATTTTTTACCAATTTTATCAATTCAAACTAAATTTTGAGAAGGTTCAAGTGAAACTAAACTATTTCTACAGCCATAAAAAAACACTAAAATGTAATGTTTATTGTAATATATTAGTAATAAATTTTAGAAAAGTAAAGCACTAAGTTAATAATAACAAAGTATTTATATGATCATCTTGTAATATCTTTTATTTGTTATAAAAAAATTACATGCTAGCGAAACACAATGTTTTCTCCTAAGTTCACTAAAGCAGCACACACTACAACAATTTTATCACAGCTTGCATGCTTTGAATGAGTTGCTTCGTCCTTCAGTCTTTTCACTGTTCTTATTGGCAAGATTCCTTTTAAAATTGAATAACGATTTTTCAATAATCCTATTACTCTTTCGATATGAATTCTTACAGATGCAATTTTCCTGGTAGATTCAACATCATCTGCTGATAGCTGGGTCTTGTTTTTTTTAAATGCAGGAACCAAAGGTTCCGAATAGGAAAGAGTGGCAAAATCATCTTTTAATGTAAATCCACGATCAGCCAAAATTTGGTCTCCAGGGTAATGGTATTTTGATGATGTAAAGTTTGATTCTCTAACTATTTGAATGTCGGAAGCACGACCACCCCAACATTTAGAAACAAAATTAATAGCACCAAGCGGTGTACAAGAAATAAATACCGTCAAAATGTGCAATGCTTTTTGTAATTACTGTAACATTGCGCTTTTGCCAATAATGTACCAGGTGACTCAATAAATACTTGAAAACAATCTATTATGGATGTAAGACGGGGAAACTTTGACTTAAATATTGGTGGTAACGTTTCAAAAATGAGCTCTCGAGCTGGCATTTTAACTAAGAATTTCAATTTTTCAGACATTAGGTCCATCCATTTCCAAAAGTATTTAATAGCAGTTGTTTTACTTATAGAACATAAATGGGCTAACATGTCAAAACTCAAATTGTGTTCAGTTTAACAATTGTTAGAATTATTTGATCCTCCATAGTATTTCGAGTTTGTCTATTATAAGTTTGTTCTCCTATACAAAGAAACTCTAAAAGTGTTGTTAACATAGTAAATTTTAACCCAGTTAACATCAAACTATTTTCAGGATTTTTACTTATAACTTGAAATGAATACGGAGACAAATACACAGGCAACAGTAATCGTTCTAATAATTTGTCTCTTTCAGACCGTAAATTATCCATTTCACAACATATACTTTCTCGTTCACATTTACTGATAGAAGTCTTCATGGCACTTGTTGGAAAAAATAGAGATTTTTGCTCTGTCATACTAGAGCATTCTACTTTGTCATCCAGATCATGCTGTATAACAAAGTCAATGCTTTTAACTTCAGTTGATGTCAAATCGAGTTGACTTATAGCAGATACACGGTTGGCTGGAAAAAGGAAGGTGAAACAATGTGAATATATATATATATATATATATATATATATATATATATATATATATATATATATATATATATATATATATATATATATAAATATATATACAAATATATATATATATATATATATATATATATATACATATATATATATATATATATATATATATATATATATATATATATATATATATATATATATATATATATATATATATATATATATATATATATATATATATATATATATATATATATATATATATATATGTATGTATATATTTTAAGTAATTTTTTTATTCAAACTTATATATATCATGACAGTGGTTGATGAGACTATGTAAAAACAGTTTTGCTCTGTCATACCAGAACATTCTGCCTTGTCAGCCAGATCAATCTGTACAATTTCTTCATTGTTTTCAATTTGAGTTGATGGCAAATGTAATTGTTTTTTAGCAGATGCAAGTGTGGCTAAAATAAAATAAATCATTTGTATTTTATATATTTATATATATGTATATATAATTTATATAATACATAATATATATATATATATATATATATATATATATATATATATATATATATATATATATATATATATATATATATATATATATATATATATATATATATATATATATATATATATATATATATATAATTGTTTACTGCTTCCAAAAATGGAAGCAGTAAACAATTCTATAAATTTTGCTAACTATCATGTCGTTTTTAAAAGCAAAGTCGAAGATTTTTTTTTTGCATCTGCGGCATTGTAACAGCAAGGCGTGTTTATTAAAAATTTTCACATTATGGAAGTTACAAAGATAAATACTGAAAAACTAATAACCACCAAACTAGCAGAACAAAAAAAAGGTATTCTTAGTGAAACTATCAGCCTTTTAAAAAAACAGGAAAAGATATTTAGCGATATCATAAGTGCAAATCTAAAAATAATAACAGATCGCCTTAACAAACTTGAAAACGAGTTCAATAAAAGCAAATCGAAGGTAATAAAAATTGAAAAAGACATCAACGATATAAAAAAGTATCAACTTTCAGGAAGAAAATTTCTTAGAAAAAATATCGGAAACAAACAGTCTGATGGCCACCGAAAAAAACAAATAAATAAAAAATATATTGACGTTGAAAATCGTTTACGCCGTAATAACCTAAGGATTGATGGCTTGCCTGAGCTAACCCTGACCTGCCCATGGAATCTTGGAATGACTGTATAAAGAAAGTTAAAGATGTATTTTGAAACCAACTAGGAATCTCTGAAGACATAGTATTTGAAAGAGCTCACCGCATTGGGAAAATAAATGAAAATAAATCACCAAGAACTATAATTATTAAACTGCTAGACTTTCAAAATAAAAATAAAATCTTAACTTTATCAAAAAAACTCAAAGGAAACGGAATACTTATCAATGAAGACTACGCTAACGAAACGATGGAAATAAGAAAAAAGCTATGGAAAGATTCTAAAAGATTTCTAAAGGTAAGCAAATTTGCTATTATCAAATATGATAAAATATTCGTCAGAGATTTTCGTAAATAGTTTTAATTTTAACAAAATACTTAATCGAGATTTGTGAAATAGTTCTGTACATTTTATATTATGCTAGCACGTTTTAATTTACTGCACTTAACACAATGACTTACGAAAACAAAAACAATGTAAATAAATTTGAAACGCTGCGTTTCAACGTCTTCGAAACTGCATATAATGTTTTACTAAATAATTTTTACGACTCTGATACGCAAACTTTTTAAAAAAATAATTTTGATTCAAAATATTTTAAAACAGAAACTTTTAAAATTGAACTTGAAACAATAAAAAATAATTTTACTGCAATGCACATAAATATAAGAAGCATAAATCAAAATTTTGATAAACTAAAACACTTTCTAATAGATTGCAATTACTCATTCAGTATGATTTGCATAACCGAAACGTGGTATTCTGATGAATCATTTAAAATGAACTCAAATTTTCAAATTCCAAATAATAAACTAATATCTTTTAAAAGAAAAACAAACAAAAGGGGAGTAGGGATCGCAACGTATACCATAAATGATCAAGCGATTAAAGTAAGACAAGACCTCTCCATCTCTGATACTGATAGCGAAGTATTTACTATTGAGATAACGGGTAATAAATTAAAAAATGTGGTTTTATTAAATTTTCAAACTTTTAAATAAAATCTTTCTCAAAATAAAGGAAAAAATATTTTCTTTATAGGGGATTTAAATATTAACAGTCTAAACTACAAAGAAAATGCGATTACTAAACTCTTTTTTGATAATCTGTTTCAATTCTGTATCCTCCCAATCATCAACTATTCTACCCGGGTAACCCCAAACTCCGTTTTTGCTATAGGCAATATGTTAAAAAATACATTATTAGAAACAGGAGTTATCAAAACAAATATATCAAATCATTTTCATATTTATTTTTCATTTTCTCAAGATTTAAGAACCTATAACAATACTAAAGCTAAAGTTTTGTAAAAGAAAAAATCAATCAATTCTCTATTAAAAAATTTAAAGACTCGCTATCGGTAGTAAATTGGGATAGAGTGTATCAAGAATTTAACCTTGTACACACAAACTCTGCATACAATTTATTTATAAATATTTTTATAGATCACTTCAATAAACAATTCCCTGTTGAAGAGAAAGAAACAAAGCTAAAATATTTAGACTATCCATGGGTAACTAACAGATTAGAAAATCATCAAAAACAAAGCAAAAACTATATATCAAGTATTTAAAAAACAGAAACGAAACTAACTTAACTACATACAAAAAATACAAAAATCTTTTTGAAAAAGTTAGAAAGAATTCAAAAAATATATTATTTAAAACAACAACAAAAAAGTAAAAGTGATATTGAAAAAACCTGGAACATACTGAAGAAAATAATAGGTAAAAACCATACATAATCAAATAATTTACCCGATAAAATTATCGTTAACGAAACTAAATATATCGACAAAATTTCTATCGCTTAAATTTCAATAGTTTCTTTGCAGGCATAGGCCTTAATATGGTTTCAAAAATTCAATACCCTGACATCTCCTTCGAAACCTATATCACAAACCAACGTTTCTGTTTAAATATTTTCTCTGGACTAAACCATGAAGAACTAGATATCGCAAAAAACTCTCTTATGACAAATAAGGCTCCTGGAATAGTCGGCATTTGTAGCTAAATAGTTGTAGATGTGTTTCCATTGATAAAACAACAAATCTATGAAATATTTAAATCTTCAATTATTACAGGATCTGTACCAAATAAATTAAAACAGCTAAGGTAATAGCAATTTGAAAAACCGGGGATTCATTTTCACTTCATCACACTAAACAAATACAGAACTACCTCAGTTCTTATTGTATTTTTAAAACTTTTGGAGAGAGTATTATACAATAAACTGTATAAATATCTAACAAATAATAAAATCCTTAATAAAAAACAGTTTGGATTCCAGAAACAAAATTTAACCGAACACGCTATTCTTGACCTTATAATAAAATAAATGACTCCTTTGAAAACAAAAAATACGTCCTTGGAGTCTTTTTTGATTTATCAAAGGCGTTTGACACAGTAGATAACGCTATCTTAATTAGGAAAATGGAAAAATATGGAATAAAAGGTATTGCGCTGAACTGGTTTAAAAACTTTTTACTAGTCAGAAGACAATGCGTTATTGCTCATGAAAATTTTTTTTTCAGAATTACTCAAAATAAAATGCGATGTCCCCCAAAGTTCCATTCATGCACCTTTTTTATTTTTAATATTCATAAACAATCTTTCTAAAGCGCAAGTAAATAGAATGTCATAATGTTCGCAGACAACACTAATTTATTTTATGCATCCTCATCTATTACAGAACTGTATGAAACTACAAATACTGAACTTGAAAAAATTAAACAGTTCGATAAAATCTAACAAAAAAACAAAAAAAGAGCCAAGCAACTAAATTTCAAAGGATACTTATTGATGGGAACATCTCATGGAAATCTTATTAAATATGTTAAATACTAAAATATCAAAAAACATAAGTATCTTTTACAAAGCTAGATCTACACTGTCTCCTGATAATTTGAAGTTCCTAAACTTCTCGTTCATACAAAGCTATTACATATACGCTAATGTTGCATGAGCGAGTACTCATAAATACAAACTAGCCACACTATATCGGAAACAAAAGCATGCTGCTAGAATAGTTTTTAATAAGGATAGATTTTCGCAAGCTAAACCACTTTTAAAAATCAAATTAATATATTCCAAAATTTGTTGTAACCAGCGTATAAAAATATATTAAACAAATGGTTGTAAATAATAATTAAAATTATGTTTAAATAAATGGATAAAAAACTTTGCCTTATATAATACACATGCGTCAAAACTGTCAAGCATGCCGTACATA